TCTCTCCCTGTGTCCCTGTGCCTCTCTCTCCCTGTGTTTGTCCCCCTCTGTTTTCCTGGGTCCCTGTCCTTCTCCTCTCTCCCTGTGTGTTTGAACCCACAGACAGGCCTGTGGAGTTAGCCCAGGCCATGCTAGGTGCATCTGGTTGTAGTTGTGTTGTGAGATGGTGAGTGTGTTGTCTGTTGTGTATCTGGAGTGTCTAATTCTCTGGAGGCTCTGATTCTCTTTCAGCTGGAGATTTACCTTTTACCTTCTTGCTTTCATTGCTGGCCTGGGGGCCCTGATTGATGTGAGTACCTCCCGCCTCTCGTCCACCTCTAACCTGTCTCTCTCTCTCCCCTCCCTCTCTGCTCCTGTCTCTCTCTCTCCCTCCCCTCCCTCTCTGCTCCTGTCTCTCTCTCTCTCTCTCCCTCCCCTCCCTCTCTGCTCCTGTCTCTCTCTCTCTCTCCCTCCCCTCCCTCTCTGCTCCTGTCTCTCTCTCTGCTCCTCTCTTTCTCCATCGCATGCCAGCAAGTCATGTCTCTCCCTCTCTCTCCCTCTCAGAAACCCTGGTTCTATGACCTGAATGAAGTCTGGAAAGGGTTCCCCACGCTGGTACGTTGACCTCCTGCATCTTCACCCCAGCTGGACAGGTCCGCTGGCGGCTCGGTTCTGTGTCTGGAGACACAGGGGCCTCGAGCCTCTTCCTTGCGGCGAGCCAGGCCCGGACCTTGTGTGAGACACAACACCGAGCACACTGTGGAGCAGGCTGAAACACCTCAGCACCGCAGGGTGTGGGGTCGGACTGTGCAGGGGGGCGCCCTGGCTGCGGGGATGATGTGACGTCCGCTCCCCAGAGACAGGGCTGCTCAGGCTCATGGGAACTGTAGTTTAATTCTCTGTCCTCTTCCTGCCCCCAGACCATGCTGCCCTCCCAGTACTGGTACTACATGATCGAGCTGGGCTTCTACTGGTCCCTGCTGTTCAGCGTGGCGTCGGACGTGAAGAGGAAGGTGAGGCACAACACTGTCCTGCTGCAGCCTGCTGTACTGCTCCTCTCCCAGAGGGGGGCGCTCTAGAGCGCGGTACTGCTCCTCTCCCAGAGGGGGGCGCTCTAGAGCGCGGTACTGCTCCTCTCCCAGAGGGGGGCGCTCTAGTGTGTTGTACTGCTCCTGCTCTTGTATCATCCTTTCTCTCCCTCCCCCTCTAGGATTTTAAGGAACAGATCGTTCACCATGTGGCCACCATCATCCTCATCAGTTTCTCCTGGTGTGTCAACTACATCCGGGCTGGTACCCTCATCATGTTCGTCCACGACTCCTCAGACTACTTCCTAGAGGTGCATCTCCCTCCCCGTCCCATCTGTCTCCCTCTCTCTCTCTGTCCCTTCCTTTCTTCCCCTGTGAGCTTTCTATTTTCAGAAAGACCTTCCCCAAAAACATCTCAGGCTTTACAAGCTGACTGTGGGACCTTGTCTCATGGAGATGACCCTTGTTGTGCCTCAAGCGTGCCCCCCCCTGGTGGAGGCAATGTGTCACTGCAGCCACTGTCATCTTTTCTGAGGTCTGCCCTCTGGTGGAGGCGGCGTGTCACTGCAGTGCCTTTCAACACCGGTTCTACATTTCTAATGTGAAGCAATTCTCTGACTGAACAAGTGAAGCGACGTCGTGATTAACGCAGTACACCGGCAGCTCTCAGTCTGGTTCTGGAGTGTTCCCGTCTCTCTGTTGTTTGTGCCCTAGCTGATCCCTTAAGCTCAGCTGATTGGTGCTGTAACTTATCTGCTAATGGATTAGACTTTGCACTACGACCTCCGTTTCCAAAACACCCCGGTTACTTTAAGTAACTTAGTTAAGTGCTTTGCTCCCAGCAGCTTCTCGGAACCCTCTGCTCTCCTCCTCCTCCTGCTGGATAAGAGTTGGCTCCCGTATTTGTGAGTGAGCAGCTCCTGCCAGGTGTGAGTGGGTGATGGGGAGCATCAGACTCTCCCACAGAGAGCCACTGTTCCTCCTCCTGCTTCAGTCCAGTTGCTCTCTCACCAGAGTGAGGGGCAGCTGGGCGCCAGGTCCCTCTTCGAGCCTTTTCAGAGCCTGAAAGCTGTGACTGTCGAACCTGTCCTTCAGTGCGTTTCTCCATCTCTCTCTCTCTCTCAGTCAGCGAAGATGTTTAACTACGCGGGCTGGAAGAACACCTGCAACGCCATCTTCATCGTCTTCGCCGTGGTCTTCATCATCACACGGCTCGTCATCTTCCCTTTCTGGTGAGAGTCTGATCTGTGGACTCGCGCGCTCGCCACGCACCACGGCAGCGCTTGACGATTGGTTCACCGATTCGCTGCAGCGCCCCCGCGGCCGAGTCGCTCACCGATTCGCCGCAGCGATTTCGAGACGCTGCTCAGCGCGTTGTTTTACACAGAGGGTGGTGGGAGTCTGGAGCAGGCGGCCCTGTCCCCCCAGTAGGATTGTTGAAGCCAGTACCCTGGCTCCTCTCCAGAGGCCGCTGCGCGAGCCGCTCGGATGGAGCGAGGAGCGCCCGGTTCTGGGGCGTGACCGACATGTACCCCTCTTCTCTGCGCAGGATCCTGCACTGCACCTGGGTGTACCCTGTCCAGCTCTACCCTCCCTTCTTCGGCTACTACTTCTTCAACGGGCTGCTGCTGATCCTGCAGTGCCTCCACATCTTCTGGGCTGCTCTCATCCTGCGCATGGCCGCCAAGTTCCTGACCGGAAAGGTACCGGAAAGGGAACCAGGGACTGGTGTAGGGTGGAACAGGCCCTGTAGGGGGTAGGGGTTTACGGCTGGCTGCACTGTGCTAGAGTTCGGAGACGCTACCTCAACGGGACAATTGGCAAACGCTGTAGAAGACTGAAAGAGACTCGGACCGATTCGGGCCAGCATCAGGCCGATGACACCCACTGGGGACAGGAGTGTGACACTCGGGCAGCAGAGACACAGCCCGCAGACATCAGGAGAGAACCGCTGAGCCTGAAGCAGCTGCTCCTGAGAGACTGAGGGCTCTGTGTGGCTCCGTCTTCCAGACACAGTGGGGGACAGAGAGAAGAGAAACCGGGGCGTGGCGCTGTGTGACAGGTGTACAGGGCTCTAGCACTGGGGACAGAAACGAGCGCCGAGGGGCCGGTGATACACAGGGGCGTGCGTTGAAATCTGAGAACAGGAGGCACTTCTTTACACAAAGGGTGGTGGGAGGCTGGAACAGACTGGTCAGCTGATACCCTGGTTTCTTTCAAGAAACAGCAGGGTGAGATCCTGCAGTCAGGACAGGGAGTGCTTCTTTGCACAAAGGGTGGTGGGAGTGCGGAGCAGGGCTGATACCCTGGTTTCTTTTGGGGAACCAGCTGGGTGAGAACCCTGGATTAATTAGTTACTGAGTACTGAACGGGGTCCCCTCATCTGTGGCCAGCCTTTTGTAACGACCCAGGAGGACAGTCCGATTGTTCATCCAGGAGAAAATAATCTTTGGGATTTGTTCTCCGGCAGGGTGTGGAAGACGAGAGGAGCGATCGGGAGGAGACGGATAACACGGAAGAGGAGGAGGAGGAGGAGAAGGAGAAAGTTTGGGGTGCACAGGAGGCCCCCAAAAACGGTCCCGTGAGGAACGGGCATCCCTCCGTCAACAACAACCACCGCAAGACCGAATAGGAGTGTGGGTGTGCGCCCGCCCCCTGCCCCCCGCCCCGCAGCGCGGCACCCCCTACCTGACGCGCCTCGCCACAGCGCGGGCGGGCGTGCGGGGGGGGGGCAGCGCGGGAGGCGGGGTGTCAGTAGTAACGGGGCGCGGCCCTGGACTTGAAGGGGGGCGCTGCCTTTTTATCGCATCTCTTTGTTTTAAACGGATTTCCTCCCATGGGTGCAGCAGGTCCGAGCGCCCCGATCAGTCGAGAAGGCGGCGGGCGGGCCGAGCGCGGCGGGGGCGAACCCCAGCTCCGCTGCGCGAGGAGAGCTGCCTGCCCTGGGCTCGGCTCGGGTGGTCTCGCTCCGGAGCTCCGTGGCCTGCTCTTGTCCTGAAATACGCCCCCCCCCGCCCACCCGAAAAAAAATTCTTTACTTCTCCTCCAGTGGATAAACAATTCCTCTCCAAATAAATTCCGGTGGAAAATTCCAGAGCTTTTTTTTTTTCCCTTTTCTTCTTCATGGTGGGACAGAAATAATGCAATCTGTTGATTAACACTTTACTTACCTGCGTTGCCTAGTGCTAAACTTGTGTGCCTTATAAAATGGTGATCTGCGAGAAAATAAAAACTGGGAGCTATTTTTTCATCCAAAGAGGGAGAGAGAGACAGGCAGGGGGAAGGATGATTCGGAAAGGGCCTGGTCTCCACGGAAGACTGCCGGCGGTACAAGGGCGCGAAGATCCGTGTCTGGTGTCCAGGGCTCAGGCTCCTGAGTGGCATGAAAGTTTTACAAAACTGTGTGTGTGTAGCTGCTTCATTTTTCTGTTCTCAGCAGTAGAATTTCAGAACTGTGCAACTGGTCGTAGAACCTGGAGTGGATCAGACTGACAGCACTGTAAAGCCTGGAGTGGATCAGACTGCTGTGCACTGGGAGTCTGACTGGCAGCACTGTAAAACCTGGAGTGGATCAGACTGCTGTGCACTGGGAGTCTGACTGGCAGGCCGACTCTCTCCCTCTCTCCAGGATAAATTACCCCCCAGCCCTGGGCTCCCCCGATTGATTCTGAAGAGTTTCTCTCTCATCAGTGTTGTCACTTGTGCAAGTTGTTCTGTGCAATACAGTTGTGTGTTACTGTTGAATTCGGTTTTGATCAAGTGCCTTAACGAATCTGTTCCACGCCTCCATCCTCCCTCCCTCTTCTTCACTCCCATCAGCCCTGACTCATTCTCCTCTTCATCACCACCCCCCCCCGGCCGTCCCAGGCAGTGGGAGAGAGAGAGGTGAGGGAGCTGAGGCACTGGAGAGAGATGGAGGGGTAGAGAAGTGAGGGAGAGAGGAAGATGAGGCACTGGAGAGGAGAGAGAGGGAGGGAGGAGATAGAGGTAGACAGTTCCTCACACGCCTGGATCACAGGTTTTTTCATTTGGTTGCCAAAGGATTTTTTAAAAGTTGTTAGAAATGTATATTTCGTTTTAAGATGTTCAGGGATTTATTTTTGGTGGAGAAATCATATGAAGGTGGCTGATGTTGCCAATGAAACTATATATATGAAAGACCAGGCTAGCACTGAATTGCACTGTGACCTTGTTACCTGTGTGTGTGTGTAGTCAGGTTAGTGGCACTGAAATACTAAAGGAAGTGGTCAGAGGAGCTACATTTAAACAGCCTTGTCTGTAATACAGCTGTCTTCAAGGTTAAACCATGATATTCCTGGACAGCTGGTCCAGTGGTGAAGAGACAGGGCTGTAATACCAGGAGGACAGCTGAACCAGTGGTGAAGACACAGGGCTGTTACACCAGGAGGACAGCCGGTCCAGTGGTGAAGAGACAGGGCTGTAATACCAGGAGGACAGCTGAACCAGTGGTGAAGACACAGGGCTGTTACACCAGGGGGATAGCTGGTCCAGTGGTGAAGACAGAGAGCTGTTACACCAGGGAGACAGCTGGTCCAGTGGTGAAGGCCCAGGGCTGTTACACCAGGAGAACGGTGGTAGTTACTGTACATTTCGAGTAGAGGAGATCACATGAACCCGTCCGATCTGTTCAAACGGAGTAGGAAGAGTCAGCCTAGGCTGCATTGAAGAACACTAATTTACGAATTAGGGCATGTAGTGCAAGCTGCCCAGGTAGGTGGGAATTCTGAACTTCTTAGCACCTCACCCAATCTTCTCTCGAACCCACAACAGGGTGCGGGTGTCTCTTCACGCTCTCCTCTTCCTCCTCTCCTCCTCTCCCGATTCTCGGAGCACCTCTCCAGACCTTGATTGTGTAGTGTTCTTTTGTGGGGGAGGGGTAACTTTTATGATGATGCCAATAACAATGTTAATAATAATGATTGAAGACCATGGCTGCGTGGTGCCTTTATTTCAGTGTGTCTCCATATTACTGCTCAGGAAATCGAGCCTGGGGGAATCATCTTTCCCACTGTAATAATGAAACATGACTCCTTCTGGCTGCTTTCTAGAGCCACGGATTCAGCTAGATTTGGTAATGCAAATATTCAGACTTTTTAAAGGCAAGATCACAGTGAGACTGGGGGTCCTTTACAGCTCTCTGTCTGTCCCAGACTGGCAGTGAGATTAATATCCTGACTCTATAAGGGCTGTGTCTCTACCTGTAACAGAGACACAGATCACAGTGAGACTGGGGCTCCTTTACAGCTCTCTGTCTGTCCCAGACTGGCAGTGAGATTAATATCCTAATTAACAGAAGAGCTGTGTCTCTCTCTGGAACAGAGACCAGGAGTCCAAACGTTCCTGTCACTAGCTCCAGTGAGTAGATCACACCCAGCCCACAGTACTCCTCTGACTGGACGCAGTGAATAAACCAGTCAATACAGTATGTTCACTGCACATACAGTACACCTGGGACTCGCTCCTCTCCTACACAGTCAAAATGAAGCCAGTGGAGGATGGAGAAAGGACAGTTCTTCCCTGAACTCCATTTCCAGCCCCAGTCCTGGCTGGTCAAGACCCCTGTGAAACTGGAGCACGCAGCTGAGAGGTGATTACTTCTGATTACGTTGCGGCCCCGTCAGGTGCTGGGAAGTTAGGAGGTCTGCACGCGCGGTCTTGCAAATAGAAAAGAAATTTAATGACAATATAAAATAACGGTTGTGACTCGTTACTGGTACACACAAGAATGAGCAGGACTTGCCCGTCGTGCAGATGGCAGCAGGTCCCCCCCGCCGAGCCCAGCTCAGTCCCACCAAGAGCTCCAGGTGCGAGGGGGAAGGACAACCAGAAACAAAGGCCACACTGCAGGTGGGTCCTAGTCTTCCTCGGAGCACATCAGCGCCCCCTGCAGGTCAGTGCTGTAACTGCGACCCGCCTGATCCTGCAGATCCTGGCCTCCTGCTGGACCGTGACCTCCGGCAGCCAGGGAAGCAGGCAGTCTGTTTCTCAGAGTCTGTCGGCAAACGGCTTACAGTCCGGATTAAAGTTCTCTCCAGCTTTTTTCTTGTTGGCTAGGCCAGGCCATCGGGCTCCCAGTGCACAGCGATCTGATCCACTCCAGGTTTTTCACTGCTGTCAAGCACACTGCGCACTGCACAGGGAGGTCTTAGACTGGGATGGAGCACACCGTAAAACCTGGAGTGGACCAGACTCCTGACCCGACTCGCGATGCGTGTGCCTGGACAGTGAAGGGGGAGAGGTCCAGAGGTCAGGGGTCAGAGTTCACAGTAAGCGTCCTCGGCACTCTGTGGATCCACAGCAGCACAGCAGCTCCTTCCCCTCCACGCTGCCGACCTCGTAGTTATAGTCCCAGGTCAGCTCTGTGCCAGCACGTATCCTCCTGGAAACAGACCAGGGGGAATCACTTCCTGTCGGCATTCCGGCCCTCAGCCATCACCCCGAGAGATGCAGCAGTCTGTCAGTGTGTCGGTGAGTGTGTCGGAGTCAGGGCAGTTTTGATCAGTGTGCAAGAGCAGTATGAAGGCGAGTGTGAATGGTGTGTGTGAGCAATGTGTGGAGTGAGCAGAGTGCGAGAGCGAGAAGTGTGCAGGCAAGTGTGAGCAGTGTGCAGGCAAGTGTGAGCAGTGTATGAGAGCAGTGCGCAGGTGATTGTGAGCAGTGTGCAGGCAAGTGTGAGCAGTGTGCGAGAGCAGTGCGCAGGTGACTGTGAGCAGTGTAAGCAGTGTGTGAGAGCAGTATGCAGGCCAGTGTAAGCATTGTGTAACAGCAGTGCGCAGGTGACTGTGAGCAGTGTAAGCAGTGTGTGAGAGCAGTATGCAGGCCAGTGTAAGCATTGTGTAACAGCAGTGCACAGGCGACTGTGAGCAGTGTGCGAGAGCAGTATGCAGGCCAGTATAAGCCGTGTGTAACAGCAGTGCGCAGGCGACTGTGAGCAGTGTGCGAGAGCAGTATGCAGGCCAGTATAAGCCGTGTGTAACAGCAGTGCGCAGGCGAGTGTGAGCAGAGTGCAGCTCAGTGTGAGCAGTGTGGACGGTGCATAAGAAAAGGAGTCGTACTTGCTGGCGAAGAAGGCGACCCAGGGAAAGCGCAGGTCATGCGTGTCCACGAACACGTTCTGCACGAAGAGGTTGGGGCTGCAGCTGTGCTGTAGAGGGAAGGGGAGAGAAGAAGAGGTTCAGTCTTCAGTTCGCAGCAGTAATTTTAAGTGAATTACACTTCTAAGCCACATATCTAATACTTAAGTTCAATTACACTGGATCCCTGCAGCTGCCCAGGAGGATACACGTTCTGACCCATCCAATAGACTCTCCAATGCCGGAGCGCAGGAGAGTGTATTGGAAAACTCGGAATCCCAGAGTTTCAACACTGGAGCGCTCCCCGGACACCGGATGAAGTCCAGTGTGCTGTGTTGAAACTCTGGGATTCGGGCGGCTTGGACAGAAGGAGGGGTGGGTGACAGGGGCAGGGACGAACAGGGTCCTGCGCCCCACGTACATTGAGGTAGCGGCCCAGGTTGCCCTCCAGCTTGGCGTCGATGATGTAGCACGACTCCTCGCCATCGTAGAACTGGCGCGTGTTCTTCCAGGAGGGGGTGCCATCCCCTCCACCGCCGGCTGACGTCATGGGCGTCTTTATGACCAGGCCGTGTGTAGACTTCAGAGCGAAACCACGCGTGGACTTCACTGCTACCTGCCTCTTCACAGGCCCTGCAGAGGGAGAGGAGAGCTGACTGGACCCCCACACCGCAGAGAGCCTGATCCACACACTGGATCCCCACACCGCAGAGAGCCTGATCCACACACTGTACCCCCACACACTGTTGTGAGAGAGCCTGACACTGGGAGAGCTGAGTGTCTAGAGTATCTAGAGAGAGCAGAGACGCAGAGGGGGGTCTCACGTGTGGTGCTGTTGATGATGCTGCTGTCTTTCCGGTCTTCCTCCTCAGATCCAGAGGAGATGGTCTGAATGTCATCACTGTCA